CCCAGCCTCTACCCCTGCGGCTTCAGGTGGACGGCAGGGCTGTTGGGGCGGGCGGCCAGGATGTACGCCACGTTCTCGCTCAAGAAGGACGGCCAGTCCACGAGCCTGCTGGGGAGAGCGCGGGAGGTCAGGCTCCCAGTCCACACGGCCCCCGCCCCGACGGCTCAGCCTGGAGCCCACGGCTCTGTCCCCAGGATCGTGGCCGGCGGAGCGGGTCATGCAGGGAGCATGCATGCAGCAGTGTCTCTGGCCCCTGCCCTCCACCATCATCAGCACGATGGGGATACCGAGGCATGGGTGGGCAAAGGGATGTGGTCGAGGTCATCAGAGTGGGTGAGTGTCGGGGCAGGGGTTGGAACCCAGGTGTCCGGACAGGCAGCCCCAGAGCACAGCTGGATGCGGCCACATCCCACTGGGCGAGTTGCCTTGATGGGCACCAGCCACGGCTGCATGGGCCGGGCGGCTACGGCACCAGCCATCGGGCCCTGCACAGTCCTCAGGTGCTCCACCGGCTGCAGGGAATGGCGCCATGCCTCAGTTTCCCCAGGGTTAGGTGCCGTGCCTCAGTTTCCCCAGGGTTAGGCTGGTGACTGCAAATTGCTGCACACGGCAGGGCTGTGAGGTTGGCAGTGTCACGACTGCAAGGGGCCAGGCCCATCTTCCAGAGGGAACACCTGCTTCCCCCTTCCCCTGCCTCCGACCCTGGCTGCGCTCACCTGGGCTCCTCCTGCTCTGGGGCCTTGTCCTGGCTCTTGCTGCTTGCGCTGCTGGGGCTGCTCTCCGACATGGGCCCCACGTGGCTGATGCTGCAGAGAACAGGGTACGTTGCAGCTATAGGACATGCACCTGGTGCCAGGCTGGGATGGTAGCACGGCAGTCAATGCCCACGCACGGCACTGAGCTGGCTCCTACCCAGCCGCACCAGGGAGGATGGCACAGGTGGACATGCAGGGGGGGCAGGATGGGGCAGGGGGGGTCACGGCGCTCTGGCACTGACCTGACGTTGCAGGACGGGGCGTCGGGGGGATGCTTGCGGAACCAGGCGAGCTGGGCGCGGCGACACTCGGCCTGGCTGACCCTCCCGTCGGGGTCCCGGGGCAGGGCCAGGAAGGCGGTGCGTGCCCGCTCCCGCTCCTTGGCTGTCAGCAGGTGCAGCAACGAGTTCTGCAAGGTGCAGAGGGCAGGGCGGGCGCTGGCGGGGGCTCCTGGGGCCCCGTACCATGCCATGCCACAGGGACGGGGCCTGAGGGGTATTATTTCACACCCCCAGGCCCATGGTGCCTCCGGGAGGGTCCGGCAGATCCCAGGTGCGTGTGTCAGAGGCACTGCGTGAGTGTCTTTATCTCCCTTGCTCACAGGCAGTTGCATTCAAGCATGCTCACAGCCACACTGTGCACATGTGAAAATGCCACTCAGGCCTGGAAAGGCACACGTGTCCCCACACCTCCGCACCCACGCATGGGTAGCCGGTGCAGGTAGATGGGCTCACTGAGACATGCACGCAGAGAGCAAGGCAGCATGCAAACCCAGACGCACACACTCACACATGCACAGGGCAAGGCAACATGAGCATGCAGACACGCACACACATGAGTGCACAGAGCAAGGCATCATGAAAACTTAGACACGCACACACATACATACACACACACACACACGCACAGCAAGGCAGCGTGCAGAGATGTGCACACAGAGAGCCATGTAACATGCAAACCCAGACATACACACACACACGTACACACCCAGATGCATACACACATGTACACACACGCAGAGATGTGCACACACACAAAGCAAGGAAACGTGCAAACCCAGATGTACACGCATGCATGCACAAAGCAACACGCAAACCCAGAATCCTACACACAGAGCAAGGCAACATGCAAAAAGACACACACACACACTCAGAGCCGGGTAATGTGCAAACCCAGATGTAGACACATGGACACAAAGGGCAGCATGCACACCCAGATGTGCACACGTATGCACACATGGAGGAAGGCAGCCATTCACACACAGGGCAACATGCAAGCCCAGACACCAACAAACAGAATAAGGCAACACGCGCACACGTGCGCACACACAGAGCAAGGCAGCGTGCAAACCCAGACATGTCCATACACAGGGCCCCAGCACCGGAGCCATGAGGAGGAGAGGCCTGGGCTGGTGGGTGGCAATAGTAGGCTGTTATCTCATGCCAGGGACCCACCAACCCTGGGGCAGACCCAGCTTGCTGGCATCTGTGCCTATCAGCAGAGGAGCCGGGTCCCCAGCTGAGCCCCTTGGGGCTCCCTCCATAGCCCCAGGACTCCCCAAGGCACCCCCAGCCCTGTGCCCCTGCCCTGTACCTGTGGCCGGAGCTTCTGGAGCAGCTGGATGGACTCGTGGGACAGGAAGTCGGCCCACTCGACGTGGCCCCGCTTGTCGGGGTCCAGGGCGCCGAACTGCAGGGTGGCACGCTCCTCCTGGGCTTCCCCCATGGGCCGCTCGAACTGGCGCTTGTGCACCAGGTGCTTGTAGGCCAGGAAGTCGTCCAGCGTCAGGCAGGTGTCTGCAACAGCCGCCAGGCTCCGTCAGCACCCTGCCTCCCCCAGCACCCTTAGCTGGGACCAGTGCCCTGCTCCCCACAAGACCATCCATGCCCTTGGGCACCTCCGCTGCAGAGAGGAGCTTTGGGGACCCCCCTTTTGTGCAGGCTGATGGGGGGCTGGAAAAGCTGAGCCCCGGAGGCTTCCTTGGAGACACCCTCCCACCTGCTTCTCTCCCCTCTACATATTGCAGACGCGTGACACGTGCATGCAGCATGGGCATGCATGCAGGGCCTGGCTGCCGTGCTCCAGAGCCCTGGAGGGAGAGGAGACGCTCCCCGTGGCTGTCAGCACTAGGAGACCTTTTATCTAGGATCTGAGTGGGGGTTGCAGCTCCATGCACCCACCAGGGCCATGCCAGGCAGGGCAGGCAGGTGCCCAGCTTTGGAGCTGGGGGGGACGGGGACACGGGGGCGGCACTCACCCGGGATGATGTGGCACTGCCGGAAGGTCTCCATGAGGCTGTACATCTCCTCCTCGGTCAGCAGCAGGTTGAGGTTGTCCTGAATCAGGCAGAGAGGGGGCACGGGGGTGAAGAAGTGTGGGGCAGCAGCCGCCCCTACCCCCCCACCCCCACGGCTCTTTGCCCCCAGGCACCAGCCGTGGGCCAGGGACTCGGGGCGCAGGGCTGGGGGCTGCCTCTCCACCACTGTCATGGCCAGGGGTTTGGAGCTGGAAAGTGGTGAGAGACCAGGGATCCCTTGGGGGCTGGGGTGTCCGTCTCCATCCCCATAGCACCCCCGCAGCGGAGCCAGCAGGAGGGAGGGTATGGCGGTGAAAGCCACAGAGCACTGTCTACACTAGGGCTCCTGCTGCCCTCGGCCTGGCACAGCCCGGGGGGATCCCCCAGGGTGGGGTGGGGGTGCCCCATGGGGTGCAGCACTCACGCAGTAGTAGCAGCTCCAGCCGGTCTCGGTGTGAGCCGTCTCGGTGAGCTCGGCGGCGCTGCCTTGGGGCAGGTAGCCCATGCGGCGCAGGCAGCCGTCGTGGTAGACGCGCGTGCACACCCGGCAGGGGAACAGGCTCTCGGCTGTCCACACCTCGCAGATCTCGCACATCTCGTCATTGGTGACCTGCCGCGGGCGGGCATGGGGGGTGTCACCGCCTGGGCCCAAGCCGCAGGCGCCCCCCCTCCAGCTCCAGCTTTGGGGGAGCCTGGCAGGACGCTGCTGGGACTGCCCCAGCTCTGCCCAGGCACTGGATCATAGCAAGGCATAACAGCCCCCGGGGAGCTCTCCACGCCGGCCATCCATCCAGGCGCCT